CTCTGGCACCTGTGCTGGGAAGGTCAAGTACTGCATGGGGGTTGCAGGCCCTCTCCAGCCAGGACCCTGGGCTTTCCCTGGTAAGCACAGCCCAGCTCCCCTGAGGTCAATGTCTGCTGGGCTGAGGTCTGTTACTGACCCTGCTTCTCCAGGCCTGGGGGGAAGTGTCCCTCCTCCTCTGAGGGAGGGCTTGTCCTCCCCGTGGTCCGTGCACCCCAGACCAGCTGCAGTCTGTCTCCTGAGCCAACCTTCTTTACTCTGGGAGCCAGTGCTTTCAGCTTTCTCTGAACATCAGCTCACGAGGTGCCACCTGCCTTTCCTGTGGCCCTGCCTCAGTGCCTGCTGCTCAACTGCTGAGCTCCTTCTCTCCTGGGACCTGCTGCAGCTCCGTGGGATCCCCTCAGCTGCCTTCTCCATTCCTGCTACCTCATTTTCAAGTCCAACTTATTGTCTGGGAAAGACTTAGTTCCCTGTTCTCTGTGTTTGCATTTTACAGAGGAGCTGTCCATATGATTAACTGACCATGTTCTCATCAAGTGCTTCACACTAAAACATGGTGATTGACACCTACATAAGAAGGCCCTGGGAATCCCAAATTGTGTGCAGACCCCTCCCTTTGCTTTACACGTGCAAGGAGAGTCCACAGCCTCCATGGATTAGTGCAACTGTGCAAAGGTAACATGAAGTCTAAATACCAGTTTCAGATTTCTAATGCAATAGTGCCCAACCCTGGGTGCAGTAGTTCCTGATGCCACAGATTCGGGATTTGAAATTTCCATTCTGGCTCAGTGTGGTGAGGAGAATGTAATACTGACTCAACAGTTCACATATGAATGATGGGTGAACTTGCTGATGCTCTTGGCACGCACACCCTGGGGAGGCTTGAGGCCCGGAGTGTACTGCACAGCGAGCTGAGGTCACCCACTCCTCTCTCAGCTTTCTTCCTGCCCTTCAGGGGCAATTTAGTGTAGGAATTCCACATTTTTTCTACGTTGGCAAGTTGGCACTTACATTAGACCCAGGGATGTTGGTATAGTGCCCTTTGTCCTTCCGCAGTGTTAGAAGGAGGGAACATTCTAAGAGGGTGAATATGTGAGTAAAGGTGATTTTCTGGTATTGCAGTGTTGGCCATGAGCTCAGGGTGAATGAGTCACAAATTTGATCTTACAGAAAGAGGCAGAGAAATCAGCTGATCTGAGCCTGAGGGTGCTCTGGGAACTGGACACTGACCCTAACTGGGCATGTGACCCTGGTGACATCTGGACTGACCAGATTATTGGATTCCTCCAGTGAAAATACAGAAGTGCCACTAATGGTGTCTATTGGAGTTGAGGCTGAAGTGTGCACAGCCAGGCTGCTCAGGGTGAGGAGATGAGAAACCTTCCCTGGATGGAGCTGCTGGTCTCACACATGCCAGAAGGTGAGGCAGGTGCGAAGGCTGAGCCTGGGGCTCAAGCACCTTCTGGGGACAGGAGAATGTGGCAGGATTTTTTCTAATTTCTTGCAAGTACTGCATAGGAGGTGGTAGGAGACGGAGCAGGCTGTGAGTTTACATGGAACTGACTAGTATACAAGGACCCCTATGACCCAAGGTGTGATTTCAGGGATGAACGTGTGGCCAGAGGCCAGCAGGAACCAGCCCTGTGTGTCCCTGGGGGCAGCAGGTTAGCACCCAGTAACTGAATGTCTGCAGTGACCTTGAGGATTGGAAGTCCCCACATAAGGGGTTGGACTGCACAGTGTTGTGGGTGTTACACTCACACAAGAGGCAGAAACCATCTTTCTTCCCTTCATTTTTTCATGAAATACACACAGAAGTTTATTGATCTCTCTCAGAACTCATGTGTCACCATCCTGCTGATGGACAGCTCAGTGGTTTTCTCTGAAGGACACTTTCCTGGTGCCTGGGTGGACAGTTCAGGATGTGTCCTCTCCTGCACACATCTGTGGATGCACTAGTCAGGTGGACAGGCCACATCAGAGAGTGGAGGGAGGGGAGTGTGCACAGAGCAGGCAGCTCTGTCCTCCTGAGGCCCATGACTCTCCTCTCTGCTGTGTCATCCCAGGGCTTTCTCTGACCCCGACTCTCAGCAAGGTGAGCACCTGAGCTGTGCTTGAGAAACATCAGTACTCACTGGTCCAGGATGTGATGGACAAGGGCCTCAGCGCTGCCACCTGGTTCCATCATTGGGAGGAGCAATCTCGACCTCCACCCCATTCTGAAGGAACCACTCTTCACCACAGCAGGATACAGCACACACCTGTGCCCTCAGCAGGAGCAGGGGAGCCTGAGTAATCATGGAATACTACTCAGACAGGAACAATGGAGGGCTCTCATTTGGGACAACACAGGTGACCCCGAGGACACTGCACTCATTGACATAAGCCAGGCACAGAAAGACAGGAACCATTGCCCAAATTATAGCTCTGATCTAAAGTTTCTCAGAGGTGCACAGAGGAGAAGGAGGCTAGCAGGGCCTGGGGCAATAGGCCTGGGAGAGGCTGGTCAGAGTGGGGCTCACTTCTGATGAGCAGGAGGAGAACCTCCAAGACAGCTGCTCAGCAGGAGACTCTGGTGAGTCCCACCTACTGTGCACCTGCAGCAGTGCTGAGAGAGCAGGCTTTGATTTCTCACCATGGAATGGTGGAAGTCAGAGCTGCAGCACCTGCTAATACCTGGATCAGCCTTTCCACCACGGGTGCCCATCGGGAACCTTCATCCTAGGTAAAGGGACCCCAGGGGCCCTGCTCTGCCCCCTGTGGGCTTTATTAGAATTATATTTAAATAGTGATGGCAGCAGACACTGAGACCCAGGGTTTAGTGCCCTCCTTGTTTGCAGTGTTCTCTTTGGAGCATGGTGAATGCGTTAACTCAGAGAACATGGCCATGACCTCAGGTCAGAAGATTGAGCTTCATAAGATTGTGGAGTTAATAGTTGACAGAAGGAGGCACATGAGGTCCATTAGCATGATGGGCTTCTCCCACCTGTCAAGTGGAGCACTGAAGTGTCCCTGCTGCTGTGGAGACAGTGTGGGCACAGAGGGCCTGGGCTAAGGAGCTGTCCAGGCCACCCCTCCACAGGGCTCTGACATGGCCCTTAAGGTCATGACTCACAGTGTCCTAGTAATACAACCAGGAAGCACTGAGGTGGTGCCTGGGTTGTGGGGCGCTGTGGGAACTGATGAGGGGAAGGACACAGCACCTCGGGGCCCTGGCTCAGTCTCTGCACTGAGCACATGAGGTCTGGTTTCCCTTGATGGACCCTGACCTCACAGGGGAGCCAGCAGAGGGCAGCACCTGGGGCTCAGGAGAGGAGAGGTCCCAGGAGAGTGCCCACCTGCAGGAGGACCCTCCTCAGGCAGCACACTGAGCTCTGCCCAGGAACGGGCTGGGCACCAGGAGCATGGCTCATGCTGCTCAGGAAAGGACCCCACAGGTACCATGGAGATGTGCAGAGATAAGACAAGGACTGGGCACTGCGGCTGGTCAGACGTTCCCTTACTCCAAAGAGCAGGGTCTTCTCATAAGCCCACTGCTGAGAGGGACCCTCGGTTTTGTTGGCAGCATTTTGACTGCTCAGCTGTGCACCCCATCTTCCCTGGGGCAGGAGTGTCCCCAACATTCCCTCCACCCTCCCTCCTGAGGATGATGGAGAATGGGCACTGCTCCTGGGACCAGAGCAGGGCTGGCCCCTGGGTCTGCAGACACATTTCCCAGTGAGACGTGTGGGGAGGATGGGGCTGGAATCTGACAGGCAGGTGGTGTCACTGCTGAGGGTCCAGACAGCAGAATCCTGGGCCTGGGCTGCTCTACACTGCCACCTCCGTCCAGCACAGGCAGCTGAACTGAAGTCACTGTGTGAATTTGGGGTGACACAAAGTACCACACAGACACAGAATACCTTTCATAAGCTTCATGATGGCTTTCTCCATCTCCCAGCCTCAGGCTCCCCAAAAGGGGGACACAAGAAGGTCAGAGAGGCTGACAGGAGAGAGGGGCCATGTTCAGAAGTGGGCTTTTATTTTGGGTGATGCTGTGTCTTAGAATTTTCTATCTGAAAAAGGCAGAAGGGTAGGATTACAAAGGAACAGGTGAGTGTGACTCAACCCCAGCAGGTGACACCTACTCCTGGAGCCACACCCTGTTATCCCAGCTGGGGGAGCACCCAAGTTACTGGACCTGGCACTACCCTGCCCGACTGAATGCAATAACTGTTCAGAACCTGGAGCATCAGGACTTAAGTAGGTTCATCAAGGGTGGCTTCCCTCACTAATGGCTCTCCTCACCTGGGACCTACACTGAGCTGATCCCTTGGAATCCAGGGAAGCCTCTGCAGATGAAGAGGGAGCTGGACATAGAGAGGGAGTCACATGTCAGTGCACAGCTCCTCTGGGGACAGCCACATAGACAGTCTGTCTCCTCCTCTTCCCAAATGCTCTCCATCACATGTTGCATCCAGTCTCCCTGCTGGTGCTGATGTGTCCTGGATTACAGGACATTTAGAAGATGAGGAAGGCTACAGCTATGTCACACAACCAACATGACAGTGTCACAAGATCTCCAGGAACAGAAGGACCATGTCACAGTAGCAGACAGTGGGAGAAAAAGCAGTGTGCTGGACTCAGAAATGAGCACTCAGCACCCAGAGCCTGAATGAGTGTGGTGAGTGAGACTGGGCACCAGGAAGGGAGCAGGGTCCTGAGGAAGGGGCTGGGCTCAGGAGGGTGGGCTCCCCCTCTGACAGCCTTCCAGCTCCCCTGAAACCACCTGCTCTCCTCTCACAGGTAAAGCTCCACCTGGGTTCCAGACAGGGACACAGCTCAGGAGCACAGAGGACCTGGGCAGCCTGACCCCAGCCTCTCCAGATATCAGAAGAGCCTCACCCACATGCAAATCCCTCCTCCTGCTCTGGGTTCAAAGGCCCTCTGGGCTGTGGGAGCTCCCAGCTCTCTGCTCAGACAGGGCTGAGGTCTCTGGGAAGGCAGGTGTGGTCTAGAAGATGAGGCTGCTGGGTCTTGTCCTGTGCCTGGTCACAGCTCTCCAAGGTGAGTGTCCCCAGTGTCAGACCTGGGTCCATGGGGAGGTTGTGACTACAGGTGACTAACAGAATGTGACTGTCCTTGTCCCCAGGTGTCCTGTGCCAGGTGCAGCTGAAGGAGTCAGGACCTGGCCTGGTGAAGCCCTCACAGACCCTGTCCCTCACCTGTGCTGTCTCTGGATTCTCCATCACAACCAGTGGTTATGACTGGAGCTGGATTCGTCAGTCCCCAGGGAAGGGGCTGGAGTGGATAGGGTACATATCTAGTGGTGGTAGCACTAACTACAGCCCATCCCTCAAGAGCCGAGTGTCCATCTCCAGAGACACGTCCAAGAACCAGTTCTCCCTGCAGCTGAGCTCCCTGACCACTGAGGACACAGCCACCTATTACTGTGCCAGAGACACAGTGAGGGGACCTCACTGTGAGCCCAGACACAAACCTCCCTGCTGCTCACCCAGGGCCATCAGGGGGCGCTCTGCACACAGGAGTCAGGTCAGCCCAGAATCAGCTGCAGATGTGAGTTGGGACAGGTTTCCTCCATCTAGAGGCCTGTCCATGTACCAGCTTCCCAGGGGATCTCTGTGGCCTTGTGGTCTCTACTTATCTCTGATGTATCTGAAGATAATCGTTCTGTTTTTGTCATATTCTTTTTCTTTTGAAATAGTGCATCTTACATATATTTATTATAGGTTTTCATTTTGACATAGTCACATATATTCATTGTCTATAAAACCTCTATTGCTCTCATATAACCTCCTTTTAAATTTTCCTCCTTCTCCCCATTATTTAACTGACCTTTCTTCCATGAGTTTCTAATTTTCATTAAATTTACACTATTTGTGTGTGTGTGTGTGTGTGTGTGTGTGTGTGTGAAACTCACAGTGGTTCACTCCCACAGGTGCAGGACTCCCACGTGGGCAGAATTGACCAATAATATCTGCTCAGCTCACTCCTGGCCCCTCCCTTCTCCTGTCCCTCCTCCCTCACCCTTAGTCACTTCCTGATCCCCACTGACCTCTTCTATGCTCTTGGGGTTCCCCTTCCTTTATCTCCCTTATTTGTGGCAGCTCCCACAGAGGACAGCCAACACTCACCTGACTCCCTGAGCCTCTCTCATTCCTCTTCCCTAATGTCCTCCAGCTCCATCCACTCACCATCATCTCACTCCTCCTATTGGCTGAGCAGAGCTGCAGTGTTGGTACATGACCCACATTTCCTTTATCCATCCACTAGTGAAGGGCACCTGGGCTGGTTGCATAACCTGGTCTTGGGAATTGCACTGTATAAACCCTGCAGTGGCCGTGTCCCTGCACTGTGCTGACTTGGGTCTTTGGGGTAAATACCAAGCAGCAGGAGAGCTGGGTCCCACGGTGGCTTCCTCCCTGTTGTTCTGAGGGTCTCCACCTGCCCTCCTCAGGGTGGTTCTCATCTGCTGTCCACCAACAAGGTGTGAGGGTCCTCTCCCCAGGTTTCCTCCAGCACCTGTTATTACTTGTGTTCTTGATCACTGCCATTCTGGTGAAGTGAGAAGGAACCTCATTGTCACTGTCATTGGAATTTCCCTAATTGTTAGAGATATGAGCTTTTATTCACATATTCATTGTTCATTTGTCTTTCTTCTATTGAGAAGTGTCTGGTTAGTTATTTGTCATCTAATAAGTGGATCATTTGTTTGGGGAGGTGAAGGTTTTTGAGCTCTTTATATATTCTGGTTACTACTCCCTGCCTGAGAAGTGGGGCAGAGGGTTTACCCAATCTCTAGGCTCTCTCCCTGCACTTACTTGTCTCCTGTGCTGTGCAGAACCTTCTGCAGGCCCTGCCTTCCCACTGACATCCTTGATCTTTTTCTGGTTGGTTTATTCTCTCATATTCTGACTCTGCATGTTCACATCATTCACCAACAAACATGGGTAGTTTCATCCTTCCTGACTTGGATGACATTCTCCAACATTCTTACTAGCTAAACCCCTGGCTAGGTTCCAGCCCTTTGTGGAAGAGGAAGGCTGAGGGTCCTTCCTTGCCCAGAACAGGTCTCAGTGTAGAGCACTCAGGGTCTCCCACTGAAGTGGATTTGCTGTGTGTTTTTCACAAATGACCCTCACTGTGCTGTTCTGCCTCTGAGTAACTTGTTGGTTACTTTCATCATGGAAAGTGCTGGATTTCGCCCAGTGGTATATTCTAGGTTAGTTGAGATGCTCTTGTGACATTGGCCTCTGCTGTGCTGAGGAGGGAACCACAGTGGGCTGCTCCTTTAGCTGTCCCTGCACCCCAGGCAGGTGGCCCCTGTCAAGGTGTGGCTCTCTCACTGTGCCCTGCCCTTCAGCTCCAGCCTGCCAGGACTTCTCTGCAGAGTTCCAGCCCCTAGTTCATCATGGCTGTTGGACTGCAGTTGGCCTCACTGTGGTCATCTGGGTTTTGGACCAGCCTGTGTCTGGCCTCCTAAGGTGGTTTCCCATCAGTTCTCCTCTCATGTGTTGCAGGACCATCCCGAGGTCCCCTGCCCTGACTCTGCTCCTCCATTCATTGTTAGTCACCATCAGTCCCTCCTGCCATGTCTCTGTGCCTGCTGTTTACTTCTCCCAGGTGCAGTCCTGGCAGACCTGGTGGGACCTGGGCCATCCCCCTGTCCTGTAGCTGGCTGTGACATCATGGCTGTGGGCAGGGGGGCAGAAGGGAAGCCGTGGGCAGGGTGAGCTCTCTGGGGAAAGGCAGGTGAGGACGTGGACTGGACCTGAGTGCTGCTGGGCAGGCTGTCTGCATGGCCACCCTGACACACTCAGGCAGGAGTGGGGGCTGGGCCTCAGGACTGTGTCCTCTGCAGCTCTCCTCTGACTGCAGCTGCCCAGCCAGGCCCTGTAGGGTGAGCTTCCTACATGGAGGGCATCTGTGGTCATGGGATGCCATGTGCTCACAGAACCACCAGCTGATGCTCAGTCACAGACCTGGAGATTGTGGTGTGGCAGGTGGACCTCAGATCCCTGACTGGGATCAATGTTATGATTCTAAAAATACAAAGAAAATGCCAGTACCAGCTTTGAGATTCTAGGAGGTGTTTGGTGTCACAGGGAATCACCTGCCCTGGGAGTGGGGCATCAGAGAAATCTAGGAATACATGAGGTGGTTTTCTTTTACTTGGGGAATTTCTGGGTTAAATCATGGCTATGAAGCAGGCCATCTTCACAGGAGAAAGCTCATTTGCAACAAATAGTGGAACTTTTGAGTCTTCAATCATGATTTTGGGGAAAGGCAGTGAAGGCCTGCTCACAGGCAGCAGCTCTTACTCTCTCACTGCTTCCCAGGACTCCCTGGGCCTCCCTGGCAGCAGCTCAGATGGGGAGGACGTGGGAAATGGAGTTTCCTAACAGCCTCCAGAACAGAGAAGGGAGGATGGGGTGGGAGGGGAGAAGTGCACACCTGGGGGCCATGACCACAGAACAAGAGACACCACCACACACTGGCTCCCCCTGAAGCTGGGCACCAGGCCTGGTCACTGCTCCACAGGCTCACACACCCTCACCAGGTCTGAAATACAGAGATAGTTAGAAAGTGTTTTGAAAACTTACACTGCAACAAAATGGAGAGACCTTTTAAAATCCTGAACTGTAACTGGATTACAGATTTACATTTGAAGCACAAACCCACGTTTTTTAGGAGAAAAGAGAATGATCTTTGAATACCTCAGTCTGACAGTGAATTTTCACATATAGCTCTAGAACCCAACACCTAAAATTAAAGTCTAACAGACATGAACTGGAACCCTCCGAGATGAGAAGAACTTAAAGAATCCTGGTTTCCCCAGCCATCACTTAGGACCCCAGGCAGGGCCTTTCCATGATTTCTCTGCTTCTGCAAGGAGCTCTGACTGATGCTCCTGGGCTGTTCCCATCCTGATTTTCTCTGTGACTTTAGTCCCTTCCTAGGAACGTTTCTGCAGTTACGATTCTGGGCATAGCATAGATAACTGTGAAGTTAAAAGAATAATAATGACTGGATGGAGTGGATGGAGCTGTGTTAATGCCATAATACTGAAATCCATGGTCCCCAAATTAACTTGCAAACAAGAGTAAATTCATGTATAATAGCCCCAAAGTTAAAATGCTAAAAATCAACTAACTTACAACATATGTCCTCAAACAGTAATGTGAAATCATTAAAAGTATAATTACTTATGTTTCCAGCAGGAGGTGAATTGAGGAATCTCAAACACACAGAACATTTCTGGGTCTCTTTTCACATTAACACACACTCAGATCCACACACTCAGGTGCAAGACACTCTCAGCTGTGCACATGATGGTCACACCTGAGTGACCATCAGTGCACCACAGGAACATGAAAAAGAATGGGAAGTTTCTCCCACTCCAGACTTCTACAGCAAGAGTGTCCCAGCTCTGGGGGCCATGCCACACCTCCCCAGCCCTGGGAGCAAGAGCACACCTCAAATTCAAAGCTGTTGTGTTTTTGCAGTTGTTCATGGACCTCAGCTGCCTGAGAAGGTAATTCCCTCACACAGCCCAATTCCCAGAAGAGTTTCTCCACCCCATCCCCATCCTCTTGTGCCTGTCTCCTGCTGTGAATAAAAGTTCTTCTGAGCAGCTAAGGAAGGTCACAGTCCCTGCCATGTCTGTGCATGGTGATTGCTGTGTTTGCAATGATCCCCAAGTCTGTCCCTGGTGCAAGATGAATGTGCTTAGAAAGGAAGCAGGTGAGTTACACCTGTGAATCCTCTTCACAGCAATTTTGGCCATTTGTTCTGTGTTGTTGGTCAACCAGGGGAATCACCCATGAACTGGAGGAGTAATCATCTGAACGGAGATAGAGGCCACTCAGGGAAGTGTCATTGGTGAGGAAGTCATTGAGGAGACTGAAGAGACCAAGAATTGGATCCATGAAATCTTGATCAACACAGAAATGAATGGGAAGTCTCCAGGGAGGCTGGCTGTCAATGCAGTGGAAGGACAGGTTACATGAAGCACACCCACATGCAGCTCACACTTGATGGAGCCCACTGGGTTACCCCTGGCCCAAGAAAAGTTGGGAAATCTATCACAGAGGGGGTTCCAGGTTCCACAGGTGAGGAAGAGGAGGCATATAGAAATCTCTTCATTAGTATACATGGAAGGACAGCTTTCTAAATCAAATGATTTCCTAGAAATTTAAAACAATACACAATGAGACATATGCATTTGCAGATGGCAAAATCATGGAGATCAAGAAGGACATACCTGGGTCACCCCAGGACCAGGAGGTGGGTGCTGCAGGCTCAGTGTTTGCAGGGAGTTCATGGTCAACACCACAGGGAACAAGGAGAGGAGCCACATGTCTTATTAGTGTGCTGTGCTCACTCAGTTAGGCAGGAGGTCAATTCCTGGACCTCATCAGGAGGTCAGCAACTACACCTGCCCTCTCAGTGACCCCACCTCACTAAAGACAGTGTCCACTGTTCTCTCCAAATGCTGGGCTGTGGGCAAGGCAGGTCTCACTGCAGGGATGCTGCACAGGGAAGGGGACTGGGCCTCCTCCCTCACCCAGCCTGCCCTGCATGCCGTCCTGTCTGCTGTCAGCCTGGCTCTGCTGCTCTGGGGCACTCAGGGGCTCTCAGCCTCAGGCTGCAGCTGAGAGCTGCCTCTGCCCCCAGGACTCTCCCCTGGCCCAGCACCTCCATCCTGTCCTCTCCTGGTGGAGACCAGAGGGCAGGACAGGTGAGGGGAGGAGCTCAGGGCAGATTCCCACCCACTGCTGTCCACAGGCATTGGCTGGACAGTCAGGAGGACAAGCAGGGCAGAGGGTGGGGAGGGCAGTGGGCACACAGCAGGAAGCCCCTGCCCTCCTGAGACCCTGCTCCCTCCTCTCCTGCTCAGTCTGCAGCCCCCAAATCTCACAGAGATGAAAGAGAAGAACTAGTCCTGAGAACAAAGGGGGCTCTTCTCCTGGATGTGGGGAACCCCATCCTCAGCCCTGGGCTCTGTTCAGTCATCACTGAGGGCTTCTCCTTCAGGGCTGGGAGGTGGACCTGGGCCTCTTGCATGCTGGGCACGTTCCTGCCACTCTGACACCCTCCCAGGAGCAGGGAGGAAGGGCTTGGAGGAGGCAGGGCTGGGCTCAGGAGGGTGGGCTCCACCTCTGACAGCCTTCCAGCACCCCTGAAACCACCTGCTCTCCTCTCACAGGTAAAGCTCCACCTGGGTTCAAGACAGGGACACATCTCAGGAGCACAGAGGACCTGGGCAGCCTGACCCCAGCCTCTCCAGATATCAGAAGAGCCTCACCCACATGCAAATCCCTCCTCCTGCTCTGGGTTCAAAGGCCCTCTGGGCTGTGGGAGCTCCCAGCTCTCTGCTCAGACAGGGCTGAGGTCTCTGGGAAGGCAGGTGTGGTCTAGAAGATGAGGCTGCTGGGTCTTGTCCTGTGCCTGGTCACAGCTCTGCAAGGTGAATGGCCCCAGTGTCAGACA